GCTCACCCTTCATAGATTTACACAGCATGATAGTTGCTTAGCATGGGGGTTCTATCACCCCGCTCACCTGTTATAGATTCACAGAGCACAACAACTGCCCAGCATGGGAGTCCCATCACCCCACTCGCCCATCATATATTCAAAGACCATAGTAGTTACCCAGCACTGGGCTCCTGTCACCCCCCACTCCCCCATCATAGATTTATAGAGCACCCTAGTTACCACCCAGCACAGGGCTCTCTTGACCCCGTTCCCCTGTCATAGATTCACAAACACAATAGTTGCCCCACACAGGGTTCCTGTTATTTGTTAAAGATTCACAAAGCACAACAGTTGCCAAACATATGGGTCCTGTCTTGCCATTCCCACATGGAAGGTTCAAAGAGCACAGTAGTTGCCCAACACGAGGGTCCTGTCACCTTGCTCAGCCATCTTGGATTCTTGCAGTGCACCCAGCATGAGGGTTCCGCCACCCAACTCACCTGTCATTAATTCAGAGATCACAAGAATTTCCCAGCATGGGGGTCCCAACACCCTGCTCACCCACTGCAGATTCACAGAGCACAAAAGATGCTCAACAAGGGGGTCTTGTGAACCCAAACACCCCTCATAGATTCACAGAGCCACAATAGTTGCCCAATATGGGGATCTCCATCACCCTGCCCACCTAACAAAGATTCACAGAGCACAATCGTTGGCCAACAGGGGGTTCCATCACCCTGGTCACCCATCATAGATTCACAGAGTACAATAATTGCCTAGAATTTAGTCACCAGTCAAAGAATTCAGAGCACAAGAGATGCCTGGCACTGGGATCCTGTCACCCCACTCATCCCCCCAGTAGGTTCACAATAGTTACCCAGCATAGGGATCGCATGAACCCGCTTACCCATCAATTCATATAGTATAATAATTGCCCAGAATGGGGATTCTGCCACCTCCTCACTCAATGTAGGTTCACAGTGCTAAATAGTTTGCCCAGCACAGGGGTTCCTTCACCCTACTCAACGTAGACTCTAAGAGCAGAATAGTTGCCTAGAACCGGGATCCCCCTTCAACCTGCTTACCCGCCATAACTTTGCAGAGCACAATAGTTGCTCAATATGCAGATCCCTACACCCTGCTCATCCAAACCTGGGCACTTTAAACTGAGCAGATGAAGACAAACGCATAAGCAGAGTTTTTATTTTTTGGACACCAACATGTCAAGTGATTGGTAGATCCCAAGATATAGACAACTGACATTATGTGCTAATCACAGCTTTTCCTGTGTACCTTATCTACCTCCAATATCGAATTTTCAGCTGCATAGCCTGCTTGCAACTGTCACTGTCCATATACAGATTGGGGGCGATGGGGAGGAGATGTGTGGGTGATGAGGGGGGATTGCAGGCACCTGGAGGTGTCTGTTCTTCAAATTCAGCGCCGGCCTGGGTCACTTTATAACACCCATTCTCAACTAGGGTTCCTCCAAAGGTGGCTAGGGCTTCCTTGAGCTGTGGCTAACTGACATCCCATCTGATGGTGCCTGCTTAGTCCCAGGTCCAGCGCCACTTGGCAGAGCCGGTGGCAATACTACAAGGGTATAAAAATGGCTCTGGCCTGTAAGGGGGCATTCTTCCCACTTACCACCACCAATATAAGAGGGATTTTCCCAATGACCCCCCAATGGACTAATCTCACTAGGGGTCCGAGAAACCTTAAAATTGTTTCATGGGTTCTTCTGGGGGTAAAAAAGGTTGAGAAATGCTTCTCTACAATGTGAGGAGCTCCAGTGCTCTCTGGCTTTGTCCTACTATGCACCCCCTTATCATACTATTAGCCTATCTTTATGATAGGTGGTCTCACTATCCAATAGTAAGAAGGACCAGAGGATGGGTGTTCTAGAGCAGGGGTCTCCAAATGTTTGAAACAAAGGGCCAGTTTACTGCCATTCAAACTTTAGGGGGGGGTGGACAGTGGCCAGTGGGAGTAGAAAATGCTCTGGAATTGGTGGGAGTAAATAATGCTATAGGCTTGGTGGTCAGAGGGAGAAAAAAACATATAAACATTGGTGTCAATGGAAGGAATAGTGCTCCACCATTGGTGTCAGTGGGAGAATTAGTTCCCCATCTCTGGTGGGAGGAATAGTAACCCATTGTTGGTGTCAGTTAGAGGAATAGTGCTCCGCCTTTGGTGTCAGTGGAAGGAATAGTGCTTCGTATCAGTGGAAGGAATAGTGCCCCAAGGACCAGGCAAGCAAAGGGTCGCAGTTGGAGACGCCTGGTCTAGAGTAACTGTAATGTGACAGTAAAAGCTCTGTAATGCAATTGCAAAAGCTGGTCATGGTTTTGGGTACCAGGGTACTATGGAACAAAACCTGTGCACAGTCAACAGAACTGGCTGGATGTTTGTAGTGAGCAATAGTTTTTTCTTTTTTTTTTCTTTTTCAGAGAGAGGAGGGTAACAGGTTCACTATAACCATAAAGAGAGCTATGTGGAGGCTTCCATTGTTGACCTCACAGTCTTGGAAATCTGAACTAGTCTTTCATATTAAGGAAAGATCAGCAATAGTTTATCTCAGTTTACCGGTTACCTTTAACCCCAACCCTGTAGCCTAATCCCTAATATGCAATTTTTTCTTTTCCATCCCACGATGGGATGGCAAAAAAATAAACACGGCATGAATCAAAAGAGTGCATGTGAAACACACACAAAAAAATGCACAATGTCTTACTGGTCCCCTGCCAAAGAGGAAGGGATAAGGCTAAAAGGCCTACCCAAAAGGCCTGACGGACCCCTCTCCTCATGGCTAGTTGAAGCTGACCACTGAGTACCAAGTTAGGGGTTCTCCTGAAGAAAGCCCCCCTACGGAGAGGGAGAAGGAACCTAAGGGCCATACATTCTCTCCATAGACTTCAGGGTTGGTCCAAGGACCCACACCTACCATCCTTATAGAGTGAAAAAGTGATACATGTGCGGAAAAATACAGTGCCAATGTGCAAGACAACTGTTAGTCCGGAAAACAAAATTCCTTTGGTCTCAGTCAAAAGGCCTTGCCCATGAGGCAAAGTACAGAAAAAAAGCTGGTGGTGTGGTGGCCTAGTGCTCATTCTCACAGTGGGGTCCCAAGCCCATAGTGATACGAAAAGCACCTTTGGGTTGCCACTCCCCGGGGGAGCTTGACACTGCAGTCTTTCTGCTTTCCCCACCCTCAGCCAGACCAGGTGGCATTGCCCTAATCAAGAGGCACCGAGCCCCTTGGGTTCCTCTGCACTAGTACTACCAATCCCAACTTTACCCAGCGGGCACTTAAATTGGATTTCTTCCCATGGGGAAGGTGCCTTAGCATAGACACTATGCAGCCAACCATTGAGGCCAAAAGATCACAATAGCAGCAAAGCAGCCTTACTGGACACTATCCATGGCTATACTTGGCTTGTTGAGCATTGGAGCAGTCTTTGCTCAAAGCACCTGAGATTTTGGTGCTAAACACCCTGTCCGGAGATTATCCTTGAATCAACAAAAAATTACCATGTGAATGTTTTTCATTGGCTTCCACACTGAGATGGTGCAACAATCATGTCACACTGGGAGTTTAATTACTTTGTTTTTTCAGTTAGGCAGACAGTTGAAAGGAACTGTTTTAACTGTTAAAAGATAGGGGTGCCCATAGCGAAAGAAAAGAAAGAGAAGAATAGTGCAGGGCAGACACAACTAGGTGAAGAGGGAGAAAAAGACAGGAAAGGGTTAAGTTAAAGGGGAAGGGTTAAAAATAGGAAGGTTACCTGATTGGTGTTAGTAGTACAGGGTGGGATCGTTGTTGATCTTGGGGGAGTGTTGGGGGGTCGGACGAGCCAGTGCTGGTTTAGCAGCTGAAGAAAGAACTTCCCACCCGCCCTCCCCTGGGGTGTTTGGTTTTTTCTTTGGGTCTTTTGTGTTGGATTGGTTAAGTTTTGGGGCAGTTGTTGGTCTTGGGAGGTGGAAAATTGTTTTGAAGGAAAAGTGTATGTGGGGACCCATCTGTGGTATGGTGTGCCCGGCTGAATTCTAGTTAACCGACGTTTAACTGGAAGGTGGAGGTCTACCTGCGGAAGGTGTGTCCTTGTCTCCGAGTCGGTGCGTTGCGGCTGGAGGCCTAGTAGGAACATTAAGGTGAAGGTTCCGCAGAGGGAGATCAATATTGTTTTGGGTGCCTGCCTAGACCAACAACTCATTTTGTAGGTTTATGTATGTTTCTGTTTTAAGGAATGTTTTTCTGTGATTTAAGTTGAATTGTTAATAAAAGGCCGTGAAGGCCATTTTACTCCAACAATGTGTGGTCTCCTTTATTGGTGGAGGGAGTGTTTGGGAAAAGGGAGGTTTTCGGAAGTTGGGTTAGTATGTTTTTGGGTGTTAGCATTTGCCAACACATCTCTTCTACACTAGTCATGTATTTTTGTCCATCCGGTCCTGAGATATACACAGCCCAGAACGCAGAGCCAAGTTAGGTTAGATAAGCATTACAGCTTGGTCACCTCCCTGTCCACAACCTGCAGTGAAGGAGAAGCAGTTGCATTTGTATCCCTAGCATTGCTAGAGCAATTATACTGAAACCAGGGGCGGACTGACCATTTGGAAACTCGGGCACTGCCCGAGGGCCCGGGGTCAATAGGGGGCCCCATGAGATGCCCCTGGTACCTTTTTCATAGACTTTTTTGAGTTTGGGCAAGGACACAGGGGCCCCATGATCCCCTATTGCCCGGGGGCCCTATGAGTTGTCAGTCCGCCCCTGACTGAAGCATATGTAAATGTCATGTGGGGACCTTATGGACTTACGTGTAACTTCCAGTGTCTGTAGGCTGGATTTGGTGCCTAGCCTGTAGCCAGTCTGAGCTCTGTCTACGTTATCAGGTTTGTTTGGTTTTTCCTACAATATCAAGGATATTGTTTGCATCTGCCTGCTACTGTTGTCCGCCAGTAGGTAAAGCAAGAAGATACAGTGGGCTCCATTCACAAAGCAGTATCTTACCACATCCAAGTACTCCGTAAGATACCGCCAGGGGCGGACTGACCATTTGGAAACTCAGGCACTGCCCGAGGGCCTGCGGTCAGTAGGGGGCCCCATGAGATGCCCCTGGTACCTTTTTCATAGGCTTTTTTGAGTTTGGGCAAGGACACAGGGGCCCCATGATCCCTTATTGCCCGGGGGCCCCATGAGTTGTCAGTCCGCCCCTGGATTCCGCACAGCGTTTTTCAAAAAGTTTTTTTTCAATTCACTAAAAAATGCTACTAAAATACCGCCTTTGCGATTTTATGAAGTCATATTGTATTATAGCAGCGAACGCCTGTGGTAATTTAACGCCGGCAACAAATAGTGTAAATAGCTGGTTGTTAAGGAGCGGGCGGCCACCAGCGTCCTTAATAACCAGTAAACAACATTATAATTAACCACTTCCCTTCCAGCCCATGTAGATAAGCAGCCGGACGGGAGCAGTGCTGGAGCGGGTGGATGTTTTTCTAAACGTCCCCCCGCATCCATTGCCTGTGCAGTCCCTGGTGCTGCACCGCGATCGGTTCCCGCGGTGTCCTCCGAACACAGATCGCTGTACGGGACTGCTGTGTGAGGTCTCGATTCATGTGATCACTGATTGGCCAATCAGTGATCACATGAATAGTAGTAAGCAAGATGTCACTTCCTGACATCATTGCTTACTACTTGTGAAATCTGTGAATAATCACCGAGGTCACATGGTACAGGGCTATTCACAACAGCCTTGTACCATGTGACAAGCTGTGACCAATCACAGCTCTCACACTATTTCTCAATGGGTGCAGGAATGCAGCCAGAGAGAAGGAGAAATTATTGCTTTTACAGCGTTTCTGGGTGTAAAAAAGAAAAAAAAAAATCTTCATCACCCCCCACAAGCAGTACAGTGTCACTCTGTAGCACTGTACTGTTAGGGTGACAGTATGTTAAAAAAAAATTATAATAATAAAATAAAAAAAATAAAATAAAAATGTAAAAAAAAAATTTTTTTAAATTATAATTTTTGGTTATAAACTAATCTGGGTAATTTTTTTTTATTAAAAAGATAGATGAATACATTTTGGCCAAGATTTATGAAGAAAGATTATTTATTTGCAACATTTTTTATAAGAAAAACAAATTTTTTTCAAAATTTTTGGACTTTTTCATTTATATAGCAAAAAAATAAAAATCCCAGCGGTGAGTAAATACTGCCAAAATAAAGCTTTATCTGTCTCAAAAAAATGCTAAAAAATGCATATGGGTACACTGTTGCATGACCGCGCAATTGTCATTCAAAGTGTGACAGCACTGAAAGATGAAAATTGGCCTGGACAGGAAGGGGGTGAAAGTGTCCGGACTTGAAGTGGTTAAGGAGCAGGCGGCCGCCCTGGCCTTAACAACCAATGAGCCCCCGCAACAACCAGCCAAGGGTTTTGGGGAATAAGCCCTTGTCCTCATCAACCTGCAGTAATTTAAAATGTTGATGAGGACAAGGGCCTCTTCCCCACAACCCTGGCTGGTGGTTGTGGGGGTCTGTGGGCAGGGGGCTTATCAGAATTTAACAAGGGAGCCCCCAGATCCTGCTCCCCCCCCGGTGAATGAATATGGGGTACATAGAACCCCTACTCATTCACTAAAAAAAATTTGTAAATAAACACAATCTTTTATTAAATAACACAAAAATAGAAAACAAATTGTTCCCTGGTTGTGGGGAAGAGGCCCTTGTCGTCATCAACCTGGAAACAAGGTGCTATGGGAGGGAGCCCCTCCTGCCCCAAAGCACCCCCCATGTAGTCTGGTATGGTTCAGGAGGGGGGACGCTCACTAGTCCCCCTCCTTCCTAACCTGCCGGGCTGCATGCTCAGATAAGGGTCAGGTATGAATTTTGGGGGGAACCCCACACAGTTCTTTTTTTAATTCTGGCATGGGGTTCCCCTTAAAATCCATACTAGACTCAAAGGGCCTGGTATGGATTGGGGGGACCGCACGCCATTTTTACAGCAATTCTTAAATGCAAGCAATTCTTTTGTTTATATTCAGCTGTCAGCGGGGAAACCCGCAGACAACTGAGGACTCGTCGGCTGACAAGGACGCGGCCGCCGCTCGCTTCTTAACAACCATATTTTTTTACTGGTTGTTAACCCTTGATGCCGACGTCACACAAATATGTGGCCTAACAGAACTGGGTTTTTTTCCGTGGGGGCCGCATATTTGCGTACCTGTCCTTGTGCTGGGAGCGCGCCGCACTGTGAACTCCCAGCACAAAGACCGCGGTGTCACTGAGAACCCTAACGATCGGGACCCGGAACGCCTGATTCCGGGTCACATGATCGCTGTGATAGCCTCTGATTGACTATCACAGTGATCAGTCATTGTGCAGCCTGGGCCCCTTGTTTTTTCTCTCTATGAAAGGGGGAAGAGAGATACATTGTAGATCAAGGTTTGATCTAGTTCAGTGCCAGGGTTAGTGTTTGGATCAAGGTCAGGTTCAAAGGTCAAGGTGAAAAGGTCAAGATTTAAAAAAATTGGTGTCAGTGTGTTTTAGGTAAAAAAAAAAAAGACAAAAACAAAATGTGCGCTATTGTTTCTGGGCTGTACTACGGGTACAAACAACAAATAACATACACATATATGGTATCACTGCGATCGTCAAGAGTTGCAGAATTTATTTTGGGTTGTTCTTTGGTGGTAGGTTATGGTAGTAACAAGAAACACACAGCTAAATAAAAAAAATATTTTTTTTTACTATTTTGGGCCAGTTTTCCTTTGATAATAAAACAAAAATCAAGAGATATCCATTACCATTTACCACCAAATGAAAGCCCAATTTGTCCTGAAAAAAAAACGTGGTATAATTCACCCGGATGTACAAAGTAGTTGTGATGATATGTACGGTTTTACCAACACATGTCAACATTGCAAAATTGTGCTTAGGCATTTAATTTGTTTTAACCCTTAGGCATGAAGGGGTTAAGGACACCAGCAGCCACCTGCTCTTTAACAACCAGCATTCCCTGAATACCGCATGCCTGGACCACTACTTAATTACTGCATGCATTTAATTATTTATTTCCTTCCGCAAGTTTAACGCCTGTTATTGCGATGTTTAACAAGCGTTTTCAGCGCTGTGCAATGAATACCACAAAACAGTATAACGAATTGACAATTTCAGGATTATATGTGATATTTAGGCAAAATGCGTCTGGACACCTAAATACCACATTTGAGATGCTTTTGTGAATGGAGCCCAGTATCTTGGGTTGTGAATATTCATTTCACCCTGGCCCAGGGGCGGACTGACAACTCATGGGGCCCCCGGGCAATAGGGGATCATGGGGTCCCTGTGTCCTTGCCCAAACTCAGAAAAGCCTATGAAAAAGGTACCAGGGGCATCTCATGGGGCCCAGTAGTGACCCGGGCCCCCGGGCAGTGCCCGAGTTTCCAAATGGTCAGTCTGCCCCTGCCCTGGCCAATCATTGGGGGGTTTATGCCAGTGATGTGGGCCTGGCAAAGATAATAAACCTTCTAGAGCAGCCTTTTTCAACTAAGGTTCTTTGAGAGATTAACCCCTTGGCGCCGGCGCCTCCCGGTCCTTTAAGGGTTTCAGAAGCCGGGAGGCGGGGGTTTTAGGGGCATGTGACCGCCGTGATTCGCCGTCACGGCGGTCACATGATCGGGAAAGGTCCCAATTGAAAGAGGAGATCGGGACCTTTCAGTGAGTACCGGACATGTGTGCTGGGAGCGTGCAGGGGGCGCGCTCTCAGCACATATGTTTTTCTTAATTGCACGCAAATGTGCGGCCACTTGGCGTCAAGGCCCAGACCCCGGGAGGGCCGCACATTTGCATGCGGCCGGCACCAAGAGGTTAATAGGGATTCCTTGAGCAATAAGCAGTGGATGGAATTTCTGCCTAAGGGCACCTACATGGTTCCATGGCCAGCAACAGTGGAAAGAGCCAGTGACCAGGGACCAGTGGAGCTCCTCATCTTTCCTCTCGCATAAGCATCTTCTAGTTTTCTTGTACAATTTCTATACAATCCCCTTTAGGTTCATCTTCAACTATATAGTGCAAGCGCTTGTCTGATTCAACAAGTGCTTGTCTGATTCAACTATGTAGTGCAAGCGCTTGTCTGATTCAACTATGTAGTGCAAGCGCTTGTCTGATTCAACTATGTAGTGCAAGCGCTTGTCTGATTCAACTATGTAGTGCAAGCGCTTGTCTGATTCAACTATGTAGTGCAAGCGCTTGTCTGATTCAACTATGTAGTGCAAGCACTTGTTGTCTGATTCAACTATATAGTGCAAGTGCTTGTCTGATTGGATTGAAAGTGTTGTTTAGGTTTGACCTCATGTTATACAGTGCCTTGAAAAGGTATTCATACCCTTGAAATGTTCCACATTTTGTCATGTTACAACCAAAAACGTAAATGTATTTTATTGGGATTTGATGTGATGGACCAACACAAAGTGGAATATCCCTGATGAAGCCATGTGACCTGGTGGCGTAACGCGTAGGGGAAGGGCTCTGACGTCACGACGCTTAAAGCAATATACAGCAAGTATTCAGCACTATTGGAAAACTATACTGTGGATTCACATTTCAACATTTTAATGTGTTTTTAACTTGTAACACATGTGAGTGCACCACATTATTTAATAAATTAATTTTAAAGAGGATAAGGCACTATATTTCTTTATTACATTTCATGGCTATTACACCTATGGAGAAAAATCCCTAAGGAAGGACGGAGACCCCCCTAGTGGGAAGAGGGATATTTCCGTCCATCCATTCGGCTCCAGGAAAATCCTTAAGGAAGCGAGGGGACCCCCTGCTGGGAAGAGGGAATACTCCGTCCATCCTTCTATCCATCCATCCCAAGGAAAGAGGGATAATCCTATCCACATACCACTAAGTCCAATTAAAGGGACACAAGCTTTTTATGACCTCACTTAATGGGTTGGTCATATACACCAGGTGAAAGCACAACCAGTGAAGGTGTATAATATTTTTTATGATTGGTGGACTGCACGGTTATTATTTCGCACCAAAGCGCTTGAAGAAGTGTTAAAGTCACAGACTTAATAAGGACATGTTTGCAGCAGTAATATAATTGCAGTGATATTGATATATATTCTTTTGACGCTGGACTATTATTTATTTGATATTTATTTATTCACAATGTTATTATGGCAATTGGTCGTGGAGCGCGACACCATTTCTGATCGTAGACAAAGTGGCACATAATTGTAAAGTGGATGGAAAATGATAAATGGTTTCAACATTTTTTACAAATAAATATCTGAAAAGTGTGGTGTGTATTTTTTATTCAGCCCCCTTTACTCTGATAATCCTAACTAAAATCTAGTGGAACTGATTGCCTTCAGAAGTCACCTAATTAGTAAACAGAGTCCACCTGTGTGTAATTTAATCTCAGTGTAAATACAGCTGTTCTGTGAAGCCCTCAGAGGTTTGTTAGAGAACATTAGTGAACAAACAGCATGATGAAGGCCAAGGAACACACCAGACAGGTCAGGGATAAAGTTGTGGAGAAGTTCAAAGTAGGGTTAGGTTATAAAAAAAAATTCCCAAGCTGTGAACATCTCACGGACAGGGGCGGACTGATCATTTGGGAACTCGGGTCACTGCCTGAGGGCCTGGGGTCAGTAGGGGGCCCCATGAGATGCCCCTGGTACCTTTTCATAGGCTTTTTTGGGTGTGGTTTGAGTGTGGGCAAGGACACGGGCCCCATGATCCCATGTTGCCCGGAGGCCCCATGAGTCCACCCCTGCTCACGGAGCACTGTTCAATCCATCATCCGAAAATGGAAAGAGTATGGCAAACAGGGCGGTTGTATCTACTGTTTGATATCTGTACAGCTGCCCTTTCAGATTTGTGCAGATCAGTGCATAATGAAGGTGAGCAAGTCTCAATACAATAGCTCAGCGAGAAGGATTCACCCATCCACATCAAGTGTGTGGATGGGCAATTCGGGTTTTTTTTTTTGTCCAACCCACTGATTGAATGAAAAAAAACTGATTACCGTATGGGCTGCCTAAAACTTCAAAAGTGTATGAATACCTGAAGCTGACAGTCTCCTATCCTTTAGGACCAGGGGCGGACTGACATCTCATGGGGCCCCCGGGCAATAGGGGATCATGGGGCCCCTGTGTCCTAGCCCAAACTCAAAAAAACCTATGAAAAAGGTACCAGGGGCATCTCATGGGGCCCCCTACTGACCCCAGGCCCTCGGGTAGTGCCCCAGTTTCCAAATGGTCAGTCCGCCCCTGTTTAGGACCTGGACTTCACCCGCTGACCCCGAAGAGAGAAGATCTGGAAGGTCAACAGAGAGTCCTCCAGAAGTCTGATGAGGCCTAACTATCATGTCTGTCTGGGCCATTTCAGTGCAATGAGAATCACTGGAATCACTGGAATGTACTGGTCAGAGAGCTCTCTTGTCCTGTGCAGCTTAGAAGGTTGAGTTGCAATGGTCTGAAGTGAAATAGGGTGTTGGGGACTTCCTCCAAGGAGGCAACCATTCAAGTAATAGTAACATTTCTTTTACACTTGTACCTACATAGACCTTATCTGTAGGTATTGTGAATATCTTCTAAACTTGTGCCATTTAGAAGATATTCACAGCATCTCCAGCCGGTGACGTCACCAGTAGCTCTGTGTTATTGGCAAATTAAGTGTGCTGTCAATTCAGAGAGCACCTTACCGCAATCATGGCTCCCGTGTGCATGCATGGGATTGATGTCATCATGGCCTGGAGGGCACAAACCCGAAGGGAAGACCAGGTGAAAATGGGAGCTCCAGGAGCAAGGACAGTATGTGTTTGGAGGGCTCCGTCTGAAACGTATAATGCCATAATGCAGTTCATGTTAGCACATTATGGCATTAACCTGTAAGGGACCAGGCTGATTTTTTTTTTTTTTCAGCAGGGTTTACTACCATTTTAAGTGCAGGACCCTCATGCAGACCTGGAGAGTTGGTTGGCCCCTGGACCCCTGGATTGAAGTGTTTGAACATGAGTACAAAGGGTTGTGAGTTTTTCCTATAGAGGGAAAACCCTGAACAGGAAATTGGAAAAAACTCCAATTGGTAAGTCGGTTCAAGAACCACTTGAACCTCTGAAGCTATCAAACACTTTGATGGACATTGACCGACCGATGTATGCAAAGTTTTAACCCAAAATAAAGGTGTTGAGAACTTCCAGATCCAAGATGGGCTGATTGCTGATTCTCCAGGGCCCCCTCCCAGGCTACACAGCAGCATCTCTCAGCACTCCATCTTCCATCCAACTCCCCTGCTGGCCCATATTCATGGACTGGTCTGCCACACTGCCAGTCCTCCTGGCTGAGACTGGTCAGACTCCCATAAATAAGTAGATCAGCCCCTCCCTACCTCTGCCTACTGGCTTCTAGAAACATCTCCAAGTTTCTAGAGCGGGGGGAGGTACCAGAGGACTGACCTGTAGAGCCCTCCAACCCTGACCTGAACTAAGGCTTTGACTAAACCCAGGCTTCTAGCAAGCCTCTAACGTCTCTAAACAACTATGTACACCAGAGGGCTCTACACTCTAATTTGTAATCTCTGGTAACTATGTTTTAGACTCTAATGCAGGCCATAGACGGGTCGAAAATTGGACGGTTTTTTCGGACGGAAAAAAAATCGGCCAATTTTTGCACCGTTAGTGGGTAAATTGGTCGGCCGTTTTTCGGGATTTTGGCAAATTTTATTTATCGGTGAAGTTGTAAACAAATCGGCTGATTTTGCCAATCGGCTGATTTTGCCAATCGGCTGATTTTGCCGGCAATGATGGACAAATTGGCCGATCTTTTTACTGATAAAAAAAATCTGCATGAGCCGTGACCTGCAAGAAGAAGAAAAAGAAGAAGAAAATAAGAAGAAAAAGAAGAAGAAAAAAAGAAGAAAAATAAAAAGAATAAGAATTCCAGTCCGCTATATTTGACATGAAAAGTATTGCGGTTACAACAAATGTATCTATTTGTATCTGAATAAAAACATCTGTATCCGAAATGGATACAAATAGATACATTGTTGCAACCGCAATACTTTTTCTTGTCAATTATAATAGTGGAGCTCTCTGCAAGGGACAGAAGTAATTAAATGCCGGCCGTAGACGGGACGAAAATTGGCCAATTTTTTTTACCGTTGGTGGTAACGTCGGCCTACTGAACGACCGATTTTTCTTTTCTTTTTTTTTTTAAAACGGCTGGTTTTCGACCCGTCTATGGCCTGCATAAGTTCTAGAATGTTCTGGGCTCAGCTGTCTGTAAAGGCCATCAGTGTCCCTCCCGCTTAAGTAAATGGGGGCATCCCTTCATTGCAAAGAGGGCTTGGCCACAGGATTGGAGGATTTTCAAGTCTTTGGCTTGTGCAATCCCAGGTTTCAGCTTGGGGTTGGGTGGCTGTGAGTAATAAAAGGAAATCTTTTTAAAAACAGAGGCAGATGATTTCACAGATTGAGATTTCACCTTCCATTGCTGGAGTAAAAAGGGTCTCGCTCCCGTAGAAAGACATACTAACAGTATTGAATAGATTTTCCGCAGCCCAATTCATTATCCAAAGAGTTTCTCATATGTGCCCATTAAGGAGACCCAACCAGGACATTTGTTGGATTACATCTGCCAGGCCATCCACACTGGGGGTCGGCAACCCGTCGATTGTGGTCTACCTGTTGACCGCGGGCAGGTAACTGGTAGACCACGAACCTGGGCTGTCAACTCCTGCCTTTTAGATGCTGGTCCATCTCCCCCCTTTCCTCCAGCCTCCTCCGGTAGCACAGCTCAGGACGGAGGGCAGGAGGAGGAGCTGACCATATGAACTTTTCATATTAACCCACAGGTGATTGGTCGTTAGGTCAGTCCTAGCAAGCAATTACCTGCTTGTTAAAAGTTCCCCATAGCAGTGTTCTCTACCCAGGGGCAGACTGACCATTTGGAAACTCGGGCACTGCCCAAGGGCCCGGGGTCAGTAGGGGGCCCCATGAGATGCCCCTGGTACCTTTTTCATAGGCTTTTTTGAGTTTGGGCAAGGACACAGGGGCCCCATGATCCCCTATTGCCCAGGGGGCCCCATGAGTTGTCAGTCCGCCCCTGCCTCTACCGCCCTTCATATCAGCGCCCCCCAACAGTAGTGTCCTCTGCCCCCCTTTCCCCCCGTAGCAGTGACCTCTGGTCCCCCCCATCCCCCCAGCAGCAGTGTCCTTTCCTCCCCCTTCCCTCCCATGGACAGGTATTTTAAAAGTTTGAATTTCCTTTTTTTTTTTTGGGTGATTTTCTATTTAATCGTATGTAAACTTTTTTGCATCAAATAAAAAAAAATTAAAAAGTGCCAGAAACACAATTCTAGTTACAAAGGGCAAATCACAAAATAGGATTTGATGATAAACCTCATTTTTTTTAACTCCTTCATTTTTGTAGCGCCAAATAAAAGAACTAAGGGGGGGGGGGGGGGGGGACTTGGGCATAGACCTTGTCCACAAGTGAGGATAAGCAGGTGAAATTGATTTAGCTGAAAAATGACTGATTTCAAGGTTGGTAAAATTTTGTAGAAATCTCAGAATTTTTTATTTTCTTATTTACAGGGTATTGCGGGCCATAGATGAGATGAAAAACGACCGAAAATCGGCCGATTTTCGGATCGTTAGTGCGGTAATCGGTCGTCCATTTTTCGTGATTTTTGACCTTTTAGATTATCGGTCCTGCTGGAAAATAATCGGCCAAATTTGTCGTTCGGCCGTTTTTTGCGGCAATGATGGACAAATTTGCCGATCTTTTTCCGATATTTAAAAAATGCGCATGAGCAGTGACATGAAAGAAGAAGGAAAAGAAGAAAAGGAAAAAAATAGAATATGAATGAAAGAAGAAATAGAATATGAAGAAGAAAAGAAGAAATAGAATATGAAGAAGAAGAAGAAAAGAGAAATAGAATATGAAAGAGAAGAAAAAAAAAAAGAATTTCAGTCCGATATTATATTTGACATTTAAAAGTATAGCAACATTGTATCTATTTGTATCTGAATAGAAACATCTGTATCCGAAATGGATACAAATAAATACAATGTTGCAACTTTTTCTTCTTCTGCATATTCTATTTCTTCTTTTTATTCGTATTCTATTTCTTCCTCTTCATATTCTATTTTTTTCCTCTTCTTCATTTCTATTTCTTCTTCTTCTGCATATTCTATTTCTCTTCTTCTGCATATTCTATTTCTTCTTTTTATTCATATTCTATTTCTTCTTCTTCTTCATATTCTATTTCTTCTTCTTCATATTCTATTTCTTCTCCTTCTGCATATTCTATTTCTTCTTTTTATTCGTATTCTATTTCTTCTTCTTCATATTCTATTTCTCTCTTCTTCATATTCTATTTCTTCCTCTTCATATTCTATTTCTTCTTCTTCTGCATATTCTATTTCTCTTCTTCTTCATATTCTATTTCTTCTACTTCTTCATATTCTATTTCATCTTCTCTTCATATTTCTATTTCTTCTTCTTCTTCATATGCTATTTCTTCTACTTCTGCATATTCTATTTCTTTTTTTATTCGTATTCTATTTCTTCTTCTCTTCATATTCTATTTCTTCTACTTCTGCATATTCTATTTCTTCTTCTTCTGCATATTCTATTTCTTCTTTTTATTCGTATTATATTTCTTGTTCTTCATATTCTATTTCTACTTCTTCTGCATATTCTATTTTTCTTCTTCTTCTGCATATATTCTATATAATTGCTGGCCGTAGACGGGGATGAAAATCAGCCGACCTTTTTTTTACCAATAGTGGTAATGTCGGCTGATTGAACGACCGATTTTTCGTTTTAAAAAAAAAAAAAACGGCTGGTTTTCTCCCCGTCTATGGCCTGCATATGTCAGATATCTGCTTCCCCCATCTTCACCCTGCCACTATAAGGCCCGGTTCACACCTATGCATTTTTCAGTGTGTTTTCAGTTTTCTAGAAACGCACTACAGTCCATCTAACATGGTTTCCTATAGGTCACATTCACATCTGCGCGTTTTCCAACAGTGCGTTTTTTGGAAATGGTCAGGAACCTTTTTTTTAGCAGTTTGCGTCTTTGGTTCCATAGACTTCAATGGAAACGCAAAGGAAAAGCAAAAAAAAAAAACCGTAGTGCTTGCGTTTTTGATACGATTTTGCTGGTTTCTCCTACAAGACAACAGGCACCTCCCAAAAATGCAAAACGTATGAAAAAATGCATTAAAACACGTAATTAACGCATGTGTAAAAAAAATTTAAAATGC